TTGCAAACATTTAGCAGCATAGCTGTTAAAATGATGTTAAAGAAGGATATGGAATGTCTTTTACATGCGTGTACTTTCTTTAATTTTACGTATCATTAAAATGACATTTGAAAAACAAGAAAGAAAGAGAGAAAGAAAGAAAAAAGAAATCGTAAATGTTGAGTGTCAATGGGGGTTAACTAAAGGAAAATAATTCTCCGATAGAGAGTAATCGTTCGTAAAATAAAAGGCATCCGATAAAACTTTTCTTCGCGAGAGGTTTGAAAAAAAAGAACAAGAAGAACACAGGTGTCTCGTTTTTCGTTCGTAACTTTTAGTTTGAATGTTTACATAAATGGGATATTGCGCGAAACACAAGTGCGAGAAATAAAAAAGAAATTAAATAAGATCTTATATTGGTCTTAGGCCCAGTGGGGTTACGTCGACGCATGCGCTGTGACATTAGTCGATAGGAACATAACTAGCGGCACAGGTCTCGGAGTCGACGTCTTAACCTCAAAATAAATATTCGTTCTCCTTAGTTTTATTACTTCGAGACGTCGACGTAAATCATTGTTGAAAAGGTATAAGCGAATTATAAATCGAAAATATGACAAGATTGGATTTTAATCGAATAACTGAAAGCTCAAATCATTAATTTCGGAAACTCTTTGCGTATTTTCTTGTTCTTTAGAATTTTCTTTTTTTCTTTTTATTTCTCCTTTATACCTCTGACTCGCGTTGGCTGGAAAAGTGCAGAGGAAAGATTTTATGGCTCGTCGTATAGAAGATTACGTACGTTTGGAAGGTTCGTATTTATTTGATTATTTGTTTGATTTTTGTCTTCTTTTTCTTTTTTCTTTTATTTTTTTTCTTTGGAAATCAATCGGTTTTTATCCGACGAATCTACGTCACTTTTCATATGTTTCGATAGTCATGAAAAGAAGATCGTTGTTCGTTCGACGAATTGAAAATAATATTGTTGATTTTCCACTCAAATGATTTTACGATGTTCTCATATTTACGAGAATGATTTGCTTCGTGAATATACAAGCATCTAAATTTTATGCTAGGATGTATGGTGCTTTATTAAAATTGATCAAACATTTGACAAATAGTGTCATCATTTCTTTTCTATGCTCTGAATATAGCCATTTTTCGACAGGAAAAATTAATTTGAAAAAAGGCGCGTAAATTACGTAAAGCTTTGTTTAATTATTTTTTTACGACTCTTTTTTTTTTCTTTGTTTTTTTTCTTTTATATATTAGTTTTTATAGATTTTATTTAAAATTTTAATATTAAACAAAAGTTTTATATATATTTATATTAATGTAAAATGAAAAAGTTTTGACTGACAAAATAGGAAATATTAATGTATTTTATGTCATTGATTTTTTAGATGGGTCATGGATCAAGCCGTTCTGCTTCATCTGCAAATATTCTATCTGCAGACGAATTAACATTAGTGGACAATATTTTTAAATCAATGTCCAGAAGTTCGGGTTCTATAAAACGTGAAGATATTTTTAAACATTGGTCGATGCACTTGGATGACGTGCTTTTGCAATTTGTCGTAAAATTTCTTTGCCATGAACCTGGCAAAAAGGTCTCCGCCATAAATGGAGAAAATTTTGGTCGTTTATATGTTTTTGCGGTACGTGGAAGCGCAGCAGAACGTACTGATTTGATATTTGAAGGATTTTCCGAAGAGGAACAGAAATTTGAAATACCTACTGCTACGTTTCTGCAATATATTCAAGCCACTATTAATTCTTATTTAAGGCTGCAAAAAAATGCTGCTAACTCCCATTATCTTTCATGGAGTAATATTGGTTGTACTGTGAATAATAGACGTATAAATATGCGTTCGCGAAGTTTGTGCGAAGATATTGTTAAATATGGTGATGTGTTGACGGTCGATCAAGTAGAAAATTGGTTTGCTGCTGCTGCTACGTTTAAAACAATTCAATCACACGTTTTTCAGTGCCTTTTTCTAGTTTCTCAGAAGAAAGGAGATAAGAATACGAGTGCACGTATTAATGATTTAAATCTTTTACCTATTTGTAAAGGTTTGGAAAATATTCCTCATTTTCCAAGTATTCTGGGGCTTGGCGACGTTTTGTTCCTAAATCTGAGTTTACCTCATGAACTCCGTAAAGAATGGAGATTTTTATTTTCGAGTCAAGTACATGGAGAATCATTTACCACCATGCTAGGAAGAATAACTATGCAAGGTGCAACAATTATTATATTACAAGACACCGATGATCATGTCTTTGGTGGTTTTGCACCAGATAGTTGGAGATTGGGACCAACTTTTATAGGAAATCAAGGCTGCTTCCTATTCAAACTCGAGCCAGATATTTTAACATTTTCTTCAACAGGCTACAATAATCATTATCAATACTTGAATCTTTACCAACAAACTATGCCTAATGGTTTGCTTATGGGTGGACAATTAAATTATCCAGGATTATGGTTAGATTCTGAGTATGGAACCGGTAAATCAAGTATATCGTGCTCAACATTTCAAAATTATTTGCAATTAAGTGGTAAAGAAAATTTTAGAATCAAGCATTGCGAAGTATGGGGTGTTGGTCCAATACCAACTGTAGAAGAAAATATACGAGAAAATAAATCTGTCTTAGATCAAGATCCAGCAGCTAAAGTAATGATGGAACTTCAAGGACGTAAAATGTATAGCGAAGGAATCAGGGACAAAAAAGACTAATATCACGCTTAAATATTTAAAGATTATTGTATAAGACTCATGTTACTATTAATTATATTGTATGATCGTTCATTGAAATATTTCAATTCTAATCGAAATTTATTGAGAATTAAGTCATTGAGATTATATATGTATATATACGTATGTATGCATATATATATATATAAATAATATATATAACAAAAGAGAGAACTCTCTGGATATACTTAAAAGCAAAAAAATAAAATCTAATATATTGAAAATTTAGTTTTATATTTTACCGATGAACAATTTTAATAGCGAATTAATTTAAGAATGCAAAAAAGGATTTACATTTTATAGATCCTATTATATATATATATATGGTAATGAATCAGAAATTCTTGTTAGCGGCATCAGTTTATGGAGAATTTTAATCAAATTAAATTAATTATTAGATTGATTAGTAATCGTTTTTTGTCTATTACATCTATATTATATATTATCTATACGTATGAATGTTCGAACGATATAGTGGTTATACATTATATATGTTAACATGTCAGATTAATTTATAGATTTTTTTTCTTTATTGTTAATTATTTTATCGAGTGTATAACAAAGTATCGTCATCAGACGGCCTGATCTCTTTTAATATACGTATATACATATATAATATATTTCCTATACACACACACACACACACACACACACACACACACACAAATATATATATATACATATATATCATTCGAATATTGTATAATATGTATATTAAACACTACGTCTTGATATTGAGAGATGTCATAGAATATGCAGTGTAATCTACATGCCTATCATATAGTGCCTGATCGTTTGAAATCAATGATCACGAAGGTGTGTTTCGTAACTACTAGTCAACGTAAAGATTTCGTCGCAAATTGCTATTATATATGTGTATATATGTGTATATATATATATATACACATATGTTTTAAAAATGTATAACAAAAAAAAAAAAAAAAAAAAAGAAAAAAGGAGAAACAGCTGTTTATCGATATTAAAAGATAAATAAGATTTATCGCACTGTTATTGAACGTAACGTGAATTCAATAAAGTACTGAAAAAGTGTAAAGCTTTCTGTGTTCTAATCGTCTAGCATATCGACGTCTTTGCATGTGGTAGATAAGAATAAAAAAAAAAAAAAAAAGAAAGAAAAAATTTTTTTAAATTAAATTAATTAATCAAAGAGAACTCACCCGATTGCTTAGATTGTACGTTAGTACAAGATTTCTGGCGAAGGAGTTTGCGAAGGCTTGATAAAAATCCAAAACTTCTAACAGCCGATCACGTTTAATAGTATGAAGGTCACAATAAGTTAATGCTCTAACGTTAGCGGCGCTTTGTCCAACCGATGGGTTAGTCCAAAAGCTGTCACCAAAGACATCACCCTTTCCAAGAATCGCTACTACTTCATCGTCTTGTATAACTTCTAGGCTTCCGGTAACGATGAAGCATAACGAGTCGATAGATTCACCTGTGTGATAGAGCAGATCACCAGGTGCACTGTGCGACATTGTAAAATGCATTGCTAAAGCACGTAAACATCCGTCGGATGCCAACCTGGACATCGATAATAACATGTTATTAATGATTAATTATCATAATTTGATTTAATCGATAAAAATATTATTAAATGATATAAATGAAAGATGATAATATGCCTACCTGAAGGCAGGGTGTTCATTGAAAACCTTCCGATTAAGATGTACGCAAATATCGGCTTTCATATCTTTAGGACAATAGTTAAGTACTTTGTCCGTATCTAGGCCCTTGGTCATTGCCCATGTACTTACTACATAATCCATGACACGTTCGCTAAGCGCTTTAGGTACTTCATGGAGTTTCATGAATTCCCGTACGTTGTTCAACATGTCATGATATTTGGCTGTGGCCGATGTCATTTGTTGAATAATAGTTGTAACGTGACCAAAGATCGTAGCGTACAGCAATGCTATATTAAGAAATATATTATCGTTAAATGATATTTATTATCATTAATATAAATTTGTATTAATAATATTTTATAATAGTTATGAATTCGTACCAGCAATGATCATCATGCAGATGGTAAATATCTTCTCGTTATCTGTTTCTGCCGCAACGTTTCCAAAGCCGACGGAAGTCATGCAAGTCATCGTGAAGTAAAGAGCAGTGACATACATCGTGCGGCGTGATGGTCCAGCTACTAGTTCTGGTGCAGTGCTGGCATTGGTCCACAAGTAACTGTACGGTGACTGGGTAACATTGGCCAACTTCCATAGCCATGAATATTGAACTCCGTTGTCAGCATCCGATCTTCCTATCGAATACCTTCAACGCAATGACATTTCTTACAAGAAAATTTCACGTATATTTAAATGTATTCTAAAGGAAATACAATATAAAAAAAAAAGATGTCAATCTCTGATCGAGCCATCTACAAAATTGAGTCATCTAAATCTAAAAAATATTGCGTCTCGCTTTTGTTTAATAATTTGTCTAAGAGTCGACCTTGTCAATTTCGATAAGCATGATTTTCGCATGCCGCTTTTAAAATATCTCGAACGACGTTAATGATGATGAAAAAACGACAAAGCACTCTCTTTAATATAAATATATATATATATATATATATATATATATATATATATATATAACATTAGCGATCCCTTCAAACTCATTATAGCGTCATTTTTAATTAATAAAATTTTAACGTGCGAAGAGAGAGACTTGAAGCAACATAAACTAAACGTAGCAATAAATTGCAATAACAATGCGAGTCCGTTGTGTTGTAATCGTGTATGTGTATATATATATATATGTATATATGTTTCGTATGTGATATTATATGCAGCCAATCGTCCTATCAAGAGATGTGTTACCTTGAAAGTGTGTACGCAGAGTAAAATCACCTTAATGTGACGTACCAGATACAGGCTAGCCAGTGAGCAACCAACATGTAGAAACAGAGCAGAAGAATGAGCATGGCGGCTCCATATTCCAGATACCGATCGAGTTTGCGAACAACCCTTCCAAGACGAAGTAAACGGACAACCTTCAAAGCGGAGAAAAGACTACCGATACCGTCCTCATCGTGATCGAACGCATTGAACACGTCGTAGGGTAAACAGCTCAGCAAATCGATGATGAACCAAGACTTGAGATAATTCATTCTGATAACCTATGATCAAATTTATCAATATCGTTAAACGTATCATTGGTGTACACACACACACACACATATATATATATAGAATATATTGTAAAAAAAAGTTCAATTGGAATTACTTTTGGATCGGACACAACTTCACCACCAGCCCCGACGAATGTGGTATGAAAATTTAATACTATATCGATAAAGAATATTACATCGACTATACTGTCGAGTACCAAAAGAGAAACATCCTCGCTGGTTTTATTTTTGAAGGCAACGTTGTACGGAACCATTATGGCCGTGTAAAAGGTCAAGCACAAAATAATCCAATCCCAGATCGCTTTGAACGCGCAATAATGTAACAAAATGTGCGGTGGAGTTTTTGGTGCTTCCTGTCTGTACTGTGGCATTACATCTCCGCTCAAGGACATCATCTGTAAATTCATTGTAATAATTCGAATTAAATCAATATAGATCATTGAGATAATTTTATTTTGCTATAGAACAATATAATTTACATGAGCCAGATGTGATTGTTTTGCCGTGGTAGGTAAAGCAGAATCCTTCAGAGCCGGAAGGTGGGAGCTGAATTGCGAAACAAGGACCGATCTCGATCTGGTAACCGATCTTGCGAGTTTGGCAAATTTCGAAAGGCCACCCTTGCTGTCGTCCGTCTCTATAGGCTGCTTCAACGCCGTTATATCCCGGAAGGTTAACAGAAACAGGACGACTAAGTCTCGTTCGTTTTTGATCGGTGCTATTTGCAGTAGAAGCCATAGTGGTGTTTCTGCATATCCCGAATCGAGATATCATATTAGATTATTGACAGAAAAATATTTACAATTTCGTTAATGAATCGATGCAAATAATAGTAGTAATAATAATAATAATAATAATAATAATAATAATAATAATAATAATAATAATAATAATAATAGTAATGGATAAATAGTATCTAATCAAATATATATATATATTATTCTGAATCCTACGGAGAAAGGTTGATAAAAAGGGGATGAAACAAGAATAATAATAAAAAAAAAAAACCAGAAGAAGAAAAGAAAAAAAGAAGAAAAAAAAAAGAATAGTCTACACGATACGTAGAATTTACATAAAAACTCGAGATTAACATATTGCCGCTTAAGAGTTAATTACCATTGAAAAAGTTTTTATTACCGGTTCGTTATGTAAATTCATTACATACCCTTTGTAAAAAATTTCTTTCGACCGAATTCTTTTGGCCGTTGAGAATCGATGATCAAAAAAAAAAAAAAAAAGAAAAAATGTGTCAAAGAGAGACTAAATGATTATCTTTACTTGCGTTTGTTACGGCATGCTTCTCTTTGGTTGAAGGAATTAAAAACGAAAAAAGAAAAAAAGAAAAGAAAAGAAAGAATAAAAAAAGAGAAAAAAGAAAAAAGAAAGATACCAGAGATAGATACAATCCTGTGTGTAGTTATTACACCTATATACATATATATATATACATATATACATACATACATACATACATACATACATATATATGTTTATACGTATATGTATATATACATACATAAAAGCCATGCGCTATCTATGTACTTTAACAACGTTTTAGATCAATCAGCTTTAATGAAAGATTAAGCTTTGCGTTTCAATCTTCTTGGACACTGGACACGCTCTCTCTCTCTCTCTCTCTCTCTCTCTCTCTCTCTCTCTCTCTCTTCTGTAATCACTCAGCGTATGCCATGCTGCTTATATATATATACATATATATATATATATATATATATATATATATATATCGAGCGCTACAAAATTAGCTAAGACAAGTGACAAACATAATTTAAAGCATATTCCATTTAGCGTCTCCATAACGGAGAGATAACAATGCGTTAGCGATGGATACGTCAAAGGGGGATGGATCGACGATAGATCAGCGAAGCCGCCAGCAATTTCGTGTTTCTAATATCGGATCAATGTTGCAGCTTATACGTATGTTTACTACGTATGTGTCTCCTTGTGTACATTTACGTGTGCATGTATATGCATGTACATACATACATACATACATATGTGTACGTGTGTTTCGTTGCGTTTAAGCCAAAATGCGAATGAGTTAGAGGAAAGAGAGAAAAAAAGTTTATGCATAGATAAAGAAGATAACGAAATATATAGAAGAAAATTATATATTATATTATATTATATTATATTATATTATATTATATATATACATATATATATATATATATATATATATATATATATAATATAGATACATATACGTGATATAGGTGTTTCATAATATGTGATAAAATCAATAAATTCATAATCAGTGCCGTGAGCTTAAAGATTCGATAAATAAAAAAAAAAAACACGATAATCTATGCTTATATTATAAACATTTTGTTACTAATACTCATTTATAAATTCACGATTATAATATATACATGTTTCACGTAATATTATTATTATTATTATTATTATTATTATTATTATTGTTATTATTATTATTATGAAACACCTTGTAGGAGTATTAGTAAGATATATATTGGATAGGTGTAATAATTTAAATAGGATTCTTGTCTGTCTCTCTCTCTCTCTCTCTCTCTCTCTCTTTCTAATGTCAGGTGGGCGTGGACGTGCTCGATAAAACTTTCGAATCGATTCTTGGTTGGATTCTCTGAGAGAGGATTATTGTCTTAGATGCCATTAACTGTTGGCTGTTACGATATTATATATTCACCTAAGATGTTGTTTGTTTGTTTGTTTGTTTGTTTTCTTTTTTTTTTTTTTCAATTGAATGATTATCGAAACAATAAGGCGTGTCCATAAGTCAGAATAAAAGTTTCGACATTTTTACGTCTCGAAACAAAGACATTTTTTTTCTTTTTTTTTTTTTTTTTATTCATCTTCGAGATCTGTTTAATTAACCCTCTACAATGCCATGTAACTTTAAA